GCGATGTATCCGTATGTCTCAAAGTCAGACAAATCTGATAGCTACAACGGTCAACTACGGTAGCCCGTCGTCACACGGTCCACCGAATGGCCACATCCACAGTGGCGTTTCTTTGTTTGCAGAGACGACAGCACGTAGGTCTATCTCGGATTGTGCCTGGCAGCCGAATCGTCACAAGCGAGAGCGACTGCCAGCGAGGTATGCGTTACGCCATTCTAGCTCCGGCATGGCGACATAGGCTTTGAGGGCATCGACGCCACCAGCCGCTGGCCGGTCCCTCGGGGCTGGACATCAAAGGCCAACAACTCTACCAGACAGGCCATGGCGGCGCCATGATCGGGAGCGGTCGCTGCGACGGTTGCCCAGCCCGGCGGCGTTGGCGGGAGATCTAGCGGCGACATGTCCAGAATAGAAAGCTTAGGCCCCGTTGCGCATCACCTCACCCAGGCGGCGGCTTGCCGCTTGCGCATGGTGCTCACCTGAGACCTGTGTGCTCCAGCTAGAACGGACCCCGACGAGAATAGACACCGGAAGATAAACAACGGGAGACCGCTCGCAAGTCTCTTCGGTGACAGCGCGCCATCCGGCTGGATTAACTGTTTCCAGAGCTCCCTTCAGGTGGGAAACGTACATGAACGGCAGCCGTGGCTTGCCGGGTCAAGGCGACGTTGAAAAGATAGGTATAGGCGATTTCAGGGCCGTGAGTTGGGACTCCGGAGTCACGGGTAATTTTCGCGAGAGAGTCTGGCAAGACCCTTATTAAGCTGGCGAGAGTCAGGCGGCTAAAGGAGATGGCATTTGGCGTGTAAAGACGGCTGCAAACGGGACCATGGCCTCCTATGGTCACGGTCTATCCGGATGATGGATCATGATGGATGTGGTGCCATCATCGTCAGGTTAGGATGACTAAGAATTTGCAGTCGAAGAAGGTCCCTGTCGTCAGGTACCTCAGGCACTCTGATTCGTGGGGAGCAAGATGTCACCCCAGGACACCTACCGCCTTAGGTAAGGAAGTGAACCTGGAAGGTGCCTTGGTGCGCTGCCCCTCAACTTGGAAGCACCTGCTGCTGCGGTTCGTTGATCGACCGATATCACTCGTGACCTGCAAAAATGAAGGACTCAAGACTCAGGAATCGTCGGTCACCAGACATTCAGAAAGCATGCCACCAATGACTGTGTTCAGCCTTTGATGCCCTTTGCTATACTTTCCTCTGAATCCTTCAGGCTCCTCGAGTTCCTCAACCTCTTCCAGCTCCCATAGCTCCTACCGCCCTGGCGCTCCCCGGCATTACCTCACACTGGGTACCTCACGCGCCACTTCTGACGCACATTCACCCCACCTTCCCGCTTGTCACCGCATTGGTAGCTGCGACCATCGCGACGACGATCCCTCGCTTCAACTGCCTGGCACCTCATCAGCCACTCGATTTACCAAGATAGTCCTTCACAAATGACATGGCACCAGACCTGAACTCTCTTCCTTCATCTCCTCCATCTCTGCCCATCCGATCCAGAATGTCATCCACCAACGGCGAAGCTCCTCTCCCTCCTGCGGACGGCGGTCCAGCTCCTCGTGGGGAGTCCCCCGCTGGCTCGCCGCGACGCCAGTCGACCTCGCTGCAAGCCGCAGCTACGTTGAATGCTAGCCTTCAAAACGAACCCTCTCGACGTGTGTAATCCCTACTGCATCAGAAAACACTCGCTAATTGAACCAGGCTCCTCCAGCGGTTCCGTATCTCGAAGTCGACAGTCACCCAACGCCGGCCGAAGACTGTCTACGGTTCTCATGAACCTGCAGCTTAACGATCCTTCTCTTCCCGGCCCGGGTGAGATGGTCGCAGATAACCAACACGGGCAGACTGGCGCCACAACCGCCAGTCCGCAGCCCTTGACAACCTCGCCCATGATGGTTCCTGGTGGTGACCCCCATCACAATCGGGCGCCCAGTCTGGGAGAGCTCCACCAGGAGCTTGAAGCCGAGCAGGAAGCTCAAGTCGTATGTCTAGGTTTGCATCGAACTTGATACCAGCTGACACACACAGAACCGCCTCCTCCAGATGATCCGCCAGCAGCAGTTGCAGCTCCAGCAACTCCAAGCTGGCCAGGGACAGAACTCTTCCGCAGTCGAGGACTCAGCGATTGCTTCTGAGAGATCCAACCACGGAACCCCCATTTCGCAGCCGCCATCGGGCTTCGCTCCGCTGCCCTCCTCGGGCTCCTTCTCGCGATCCCCGGTTGTGCCCCATCCCCGAAGCTCCTTTGACATGGCAAGAGCAGATATCCAACGCCGCTCTCGAACCCCGAGTCGCGGCGCTTCTCCGAGATTGCGCTCAACATCTATAAGCGGCGACAGCGGCGAACAGTACACCCTCGGCGGTCGCGATGAAAGCGCCTTTTACCAGGCCGAGACCCAGATGCTGGTCCGAGAGAATCAGATGCTCCGTCACCGCATAAGAGATTTGGGTAAGTTTCTCGAGATGCGCCGGTGTTGTCGATGCTAATGGGGTATTTAGAGAAACAATTGACGGATCTGCTGCCTGCGACCAGCTCCCAAGGCAACCCCAGCGAGCCCGCCCACCCATCACACCTCAGAGCTGCCGCTGTCGGTGAGGATGTTGCGACGCCATCGACCAGCGACGTGGCCAAGGAGGCGTGATTGAACTGTAACATTTATGAGGGTGGACGGCCCCGGGATATCTGGCGTTTCGGAAAACTTGCTACATCTCACGAATGCAATGACATGGCTTAGGCGTTGGTCGGACGGGCTGGATGGGCTCTTCTCTGTGTTGCTATTAGCTGCAGTATCAATAATGGAGTGCAAACAATTTGAATGCGATGATGAAGCTGCTTCCGTGATTTAAAGTGGACCCCCCGCATGAGGCATACGGAGCTCCTTGATACGTTGCGTGACTCTGCATCGTCAACAGATCGCGACTCGTGCGCACATTAGCTTCAGGGCAGTTGGGAGGTTGTTTAACTGAAGCGCGACATCTTCGTTGCCATTTTCTTTGTCGAATCAAGCAAAAAACACGCAATGTACAAAAAATCTTGGACGATCTGGGAATCGAACCCAGGACCTACCGCATGCTAAGCGGTCATTATACCACTAAACCAATCGCCCAACCTGTGATGTGATTCGAAGTGAATTCTGTCACCATGTAGCTGAGTGCTGCCACGGCAAGCTGCTCGCCAACTACACAGCAACAACGTCCATTGTATGCATCGTCACAGCCTCGAGGCGAGTGTCACGACAAGTAGTACGCGGCAAGTTTATTTGGCTTCGTCGGATGCGTGCGGCTCCCGGAAAGGTTAATGGCTAAACAGAGCCAGGCACCCATGCGATACCTAGGCTGGTTACACTCAGTTACCGGACGATCACACTGTGAAGATATTATTTGTATTGTTGCTCTGTTGGCTATCTGTTGGCCATGACTCTCGGTGAGCCGTCCTGACCCCACAAACTTTTCTATGCCAGTATGAGGAATATCCAGCCTCAGCTCCGACCACGTCGTGGCTCTAAAACAAACGTATGCCGTTGCTATGGGTTGCTTTAGGGAAAAGTTTCCCAACGGCATCGACGTGCTGATCAAGGCCCCATGGTGTTTCGCATTGTTCAGTGATCTTATCGCTCCCAAACGCTGCTTCTGTGCCCGAATTGATCTTCTTCCTGCTCTCGAGCATATATCTAACGTACTCATTTCTGAGCTCGTCATGTCGAGTCGAGCCAACACCTTGGTCCTTGTCGTAGAAATAAAGATGCCGTCGGTGTTGGCTGCTCTTCCTCTCAACAATCTCACCAAAGGTCCCCCGACCAAGCCGTATGAGCTCACCATATCGAGTCGTCGAGACCTATAAGTTGCCGAGCTCATGTAGCCATAGGCCAGCTATATACATATCCGCCAGAATACTCCCACTACAGCCAGTGGCCCTTTTACGAGGCCATCGATATCCCTGGTGACGGAATCGACGGGCAACAAGCAGGCACCTGAAAAACTCGGCCGTAGACTTAAAGATGAACAGACTGGTTACCGCATCATCATGGAACATACCATCTGCCGAACCCATCAGCCCGAGCCTCCCGCGGGACCACAGCAAACGAGGGTCTGATAGATCGCCCTGTATATACCTAGCCATGGACCCATGGCCCTTTACGCCTTTCGCAAGAGTGAAGCCTTCCCAATGGTAACGCTTTCTTCGAGAGGCATGATCTTGCGGTCATGCAGCATAGGCGTATAGCCTGGAGGCATCAATATGGCCTTGAGCTTGCTCAATAGTCAGCCTTTCTTCGATTGGCAGGCCCTTTTGGCCATCCACGATGGCGACTCAGACTTCAGTCTCAAGATCACCCATATTTCCCCGCTTTGCCGATCGACTGCGGCGGCGTCATGCAGGCCCGGGGTTGTGAGCAAGGCCTCGATACCTGTTGTCTCTGTCATCTCCCTCTCGTCTTCTTCGTATACTTCGCCGCGAGCGGTATGCGCTCATCGACCACGTTGAGATGAGGCGTGCACACACGGTTGTCGCAGTTGCGATTTTGTCTGCCTCATCATATTTATATAACAGTTCACGCCAGCGGATGCCTTCTGTGCCGCCGTAGATGGGAAGACCAAGAAAGCTCATAGAAGTCAGGGCATTCTCAATGTTGAGCAAATCAGTTAAGGTAATCCGGTACGGTTCAAACGGCCCCGGGACCTCTCCGTGTGGGGTGTCGGAGCTTCGACAAGGACCTAGAGTAATGCGGCCGCATGTGTTTCGAACTCGGTGCCGCGTTCGTGAAACTCATGGAGATATATCTGTTGGCGTATGCTTGATGAGAAGATTTCAGGCGTTGATCTGCTCGTCAACACTCTTAGGTCGTCCTTGACCACTCTGAGGCGACACCTTCTCTCAGTCCGTTGGTGGTGAGAGAACCCACCATACATGGAGGTATTGAGACAAAAGGATGCTGCGACGTGGAGCCGCCTCAACCTCACTGGCTCCATGCTCATCTACGAGCACACTCATGATAAATTTGTCGAGGCGACAGCAGCATGACCGTGTTCCAGGTCAGGAGGACCGCCTCCCTCGTCTGGCCCAAGGCTTGTTCTAGGTAGAGTAAAGGGCGTACACCTCTCTGAACTGTACCCAAATGCCAAGCTGTTGTCAGGAAGGTGATGTTTGGCCTTTTTTGAGCCTTGGCATTCGAAGCAGTTTCCTGCGATGTGATTCTTGGGAATAGTCACGACGAACGAATCTTGGCCGCGATCGTTTGGCCGCCCAGCTTGAGAGGCCCAGAACGCCAAGTCAACGCTGGTCCGGCCGCTGATGCAGTATCGGCTGCTTTCCATAGGGGCGACGCCAGCGAGCGGAGGCTGCTGGGAAAGCCAACGGGCGAACACTTGGTCCTCAGTGTCGTCCGAGCCACACACACCCAAGGCGCTGCTTGGTTCCTTATCGGCCCCGGAGATGATATAGATGCACGCAGGCATGCCTCTCTACTCCGGCCCGTTCAAGCGAAGCCGGCTAGGAACACTGACGGCCCTTCGACGGGGAAACGATGAACGAGTTGTGACCCTGCGATGAATGCGATTTGACAAGCTGTAGTTGGTGCATCGATTCCATCACGCCTTCCATGGGGCTTCGATCCTGGGTCTACGTCTGCCGTCTTGGAGGGGCTAGTACAACGCTTAGAGATGTGAGGGAGGCGCAGCTGAGATGCGCGGATCCCATGATCGACGTGGTATGAAGACGGTCCCGGGGACGGTCTTCGTCTTTATAGAGATGAGGCGCGAGGATTCTCACCCTCGCAAGGGGCCCTTTGTCGAAATGACGGAACTCGCGGTAATAAGCCCGTCAACGTGCCTTCTGCGAGCGGTGCAGACAATCATAGTGACTATCTTTACCTGGCGCCTGGTCTCGATGAGTCGTACGTCTGTAGCGTTCCTGGTTACAGGCCTGTTGACTTGCAGGGCCCGGGAAGAACAGCCGCGAGTCAGCTCTTATAAAGAGTTGTTTATCTTGGAGTTAGCTACAGTAACGGGGTTACGACTATCATAAACGCTTAGTTGTGCCTGTGATATCTTTAGCTAAGGCGTTTTCTGGGATGGCTATGGCGTGGGATTATCTCGACCGCGTTTTGCTCTGTTCGCGGGTAGACTTATTCCTAACGTCAAGGAACCCTGACCACGCGACATCCGTCCACGGAGGCTTGTAACCTGGTGATCTGTTGTCCACTAATATCTAGTATTATGGCCAGGTAGAATAGTTGCGGGATGACGACGAGTCGAACGCCCGCGGGTCTTAGTGGTGAATGCGGTGGCGGGCCCGTGGCCGAATGCAACGTATAAGTGAGGAAAGGCCAATCAGTCTATTATACACTACGAGAGATGTGTGCTTAATGGTGTGATGCTGTGCGAGAAGCCGATATGGGGGGAGATCTCCATGGGTTATACACCTGGGCTGGCCAGGATGAAGTTCATGGACCCTCTCATTTCTCAAGTGAGATGTGAAAATGTGTATGAGAAGGTGCCACACGGCCACGTTTGGCAAGTGAGTGTCAAGTATTTGTTGGGTACGGCGATGAGCTAATCACTCTGCAGCTTTCTCATGAACACGCCTACCCTTGAGTCCTATTTTTACGCTGCTATGTCTTCACCCCGATAATGAGCACCTTTGACTACATAAAGCTAACTGATGCCGTCCAGATCGCCAAACTTGAATACATACGACCGGAATAGACGAGACAAACGAAGTACACACATAATCGCACACGGTTTTCACAAGAAACGAGTTTTATTATCAACGCCCACACACCTATCTAACCACGGTTGGTCTAAATTACTGTGGTTACGACGGCGCGACGACACGACGTTTACTACACGATGTCACGCCCACGGTGGCCTCCCTACGACGGCAAAACGCCCACGACGGCACGACGCCCATGACGGTCTACTCCACGGTGTTAGGAACGCCTACAAGGGCATCCTCTACGACGCCACGGTCTAGTCCACGATTATGGCCCCTTCATCTTCACCCTCAACTTCTTCGACGTCTTCGACTTCTTCGTCTTGTATCCCCAGGTGTAGACACACCCTCATTGTGATATCGTCGAGCCTCTGCCATTGAAGCTCTTCGGCAGTGACCGCAGTGTGCTTCAATCGCAGACTGTCCGTCTTGCTCTTCATGACCTTCTTCAGCTCGGTCTCCCACTGCTTCAGCAGCCTGTCCAGCGTAAGCTTGTGCTCGTCGTATTCACGAAATAGCTTCACAATATCCCCCCTAGCGCTGTCAATCGCCTTGAGGCTGTCCGGAAACACGCGTCTCTGCTCAAGGTCGGCGAGGGAAAGCTGAATGTTTGTGCTGAAATAGGGCCGCACACACAACACTTCGAATTCCATGTGACGCATGGTTGAGGCCCCGTCTTTGCCCCTTTGCCCGCCGCCTTCGGCCACGTTCAAGCCATCCTGTAAATAGTTGGATCGCGTCAATGAGATGACGAGCCTTTCTGCTATGGGCAGCAATCCGGGTTCCCAGGTCTTAAGTATCACTCTCGACACCGTCTTAGGCACCAGCCCAGAAGCCTTGATGGCCGAAAGAAGAAGTATCAACGGCGTATTGATCGAGGTCGGGTCCAGTGTGCGCTTGCCTCCAAGGGCATTGTTGGCCGCGTAAACGGGCACCCGGGTACCAAGGTCACCGGAGCATCCGACATACTGCATGCCTTGGATCTGATGCACACTGAATTGACGAGGGTCCGTAGCCGCACGCTGTCTGCGCTAGGGCGCCTTCACCAAGTTATTAGCCACAAACAAGTCGGCAGAGTTGCTAATCAGACGTGTCTTGTCGGTCGCCGAGGTCCCAAATGCATCATAAAAGGCATATGTCTTCTTGAAGAGCATCCTCTCAGCAATTTCAGCCTGCTGACCATGTAGAGTTCGCAAGTTGATCCTGTATGCCTTGATATAATCCTTCAATTCGGTGATGACGCGGGTTATCTCGTCGTAACCGAGGAACTTCCCACCTCGATTTCAATGTATACGTCAATGGCATAGATGCCCTGTCCTTTTGCCGGGTAGCAACTCGCGTCTCGTGAGTTCACAGTGTCAAATGCTAGGGCGCCCTGGATCAGAGACCTCAGCAGCTTCCGCGGAATCGCATGCAGGAGCATCAACGAATTCTTGCCATGCCTGAAGTCGTGGTCGAGCTGGTCAAACGTGCTGTTCTGCGAGGGAGTAAGCTGCCAGATATCTTTGGCAATGTCTGGGAACATAAGAGATATCGTATAGAGTGTCTTGATCACAGCAAGAGATTCAAGATCACTACCGTCTGCGGCTCATGTGGGCACAAGCACCACTATCTCTGCGACAGCCTGATCCCGGATGAGTCCGGATTTGTTTTGGGCTGTCCATTATGCAACACGACTGCTCATAACTGGGATGACTGCAAGTGCTCTGGAGAGCTCGGTTGGGTGCACCAGGACGAGATCGTGTTCTACCGCTGCATCAACATGCCCCCCATCAGCTCCTGGAAGCCTTGGATCATGTGGGAGAAGGAAAGAACTGATCAGGGACTCTCATCTTGGGACCTTCAGGGAGTGTATCCTTGGACTTTGGCTTTTGTCGAGGAATTGAAGCAGTCGGAGCGTTTCTGGGTTAACTTCGACCACAAGCTTTGGAAGAAGGAGAGAGAAAAGTTGTCCAAGGATCCGGCAACACACCGCTACAGTGCTGAGCAGTTCATCGACTACGCCCCATTGTTAGAGGAAAGGAGTGCCTCCAGTGAGGATAATATCCGCAACAGCAGAAACACGTTGCAGATCGGTTTTAATGCGGCGGTCCACAACACCCAGACGTCGCAGGACGTTGCGAACGCGGTCGCCACGCCCCCGTTGGCTCCAAACGAGAACAAGTCAAAGGGCACACTGGTGTCTCCGTCTGGTGCCACGGATCTTGACGTCGCGTAGGGCAACCCATCGGTTGACGTTGTGACCCCGACGCCGACCACGGCTGAAGGAGGCCTTTCCACTGGGATCAAAAAGCTGAAAGTTCTCCCGGCCCCCCTGGCTCAGGAGACTCCGCTTTCGATATGCCTTCCGTGACGAACGTGGCCCCCGTGGCGCAAGACACACACGCAAAGGCCTCATTCTATGGGGATTTGATAGACTACACCGATGACGAACGTGAGCATGCATTGACGACGGCGTTGAAGTTGTCAGACCTTAAGTTACGAAGAAGAAGTCGAAAAATTCGAATAAAAAGTCCTCGGACAAGACGTTACCAGACGATACAACGGAGGACGACACGTCAGAAGGCGAAGAGTCAGAGAGCGGCAAGTCAGCGGACGAGGAGTCACTGACCGGGACTGCGATTGCGAGAAGCCCCTTCTGAGAAGACATGGATCAATTATTTCGGAGGCTTGGGTGGCATTGGGCATATGGGGAGCCCACTGGGGCGGGGATGAGCATTGAAAGGCATCAGGAGCCCGCTGAGAGTCATGGATGAGCACACCAAAGGGCATGAGTGAGCCCCCCGACTGGGAGGCGTGGATAGGCATTCACCGGGTGGGTAGTGCAATCGAATTGAATTTCCATTACGGAATACTTCTCCTGTGAAATGTGCTTTCGTTGCCCGTGACCTAGTTGAATTTGTCGTAGTCTACCCGGCGGCTGCTCGGATGCTCGAGTCGGCGGCTGTCAGAAACAATGGGGCCGGACCGATCCGAGGTGACTACACAGCACACGGAGGCCACCGAAGTGGGGGCCGGACCTTGCTCTCCATTCACAAGGAGGCAAGACAAAGCACGCTACCTCACCGATTCATCTTTTTCGCCTTTACACAAACACACAACCGCCTTTTTGTACGTATCCAAAACTCTTCGCTGGACCTTTTGCTAACACCACTAGAAAATGTCGTCGCAAAATTCCGATTCATCGAGACAGAGAGACCGCGGCGACCGCGCCAGCAGTCGAGAATTCGAACAGACGATCTCATCGGCGATGGGGAACAGAGGCGCGAGCGATCCCGCTCACCATTTCCAACCAACAAATGACGTCGGCGCAAGACCTCGAGCAGGCCCGCCGTTGGCTGACTCGACGTCGGTCTGGGGAAGGGAACCACCGGGTTCAGAGTGACAAAGGACGCTGACCATCACGGCGCGATTGTTAACCTTACTCGATCCGACGAGGTATTCGTGATGAGTGGCCCGCGCGATCAGCTGCACGCCATGATTGATGGGGTGCTTGGCGAGAACGACGGCCAACACATAATTGGCATCCTGAAAATGCGTTCAGCGGCCGGATAGCGGCCGGATCATCGGCAGAAAGACCTATTCCACTAGCGACCGCGGGTTCCGGGCCGTGTCTCAGAGAGTTCAACACGCGAGACTGTGAAATTTGGTGGAGACTGAATGTGGGAAAGGGAGTCAACGCCCGACATCAGGTCCCGCGACGTTTGAGAAGCTCGTTCATTCGGAGCAAGTGTCCCAGCTCCTGTGACAGAAGCCCGCCCGCCTGTTGTTTGTTCGCGCCGTCTCACGATCCGGAAAGAAGTGGGTGTATGAGGACGATGGCAAGGAGGCTCATCGTAGCTTCATCCGCGTCGCACGAGAGGCGGGGTCAGGTCCGCTAAACTTAGGGCATGAGATCCAGAAGCGAGCCGTGGTCAACCAGCTATTCGGTGATTTGGTCAAACGCCTGCTCGTGCGCCCGTCGAGTTTTATCCGGATCGAGTACCCACTGGCCGCCGACGAAAGGCAGACGTTGGACTCGATCTAGACTTTCCAGGTTGAGGCCGCGTCCTCTGAACAAGTCCCGTTCGTCCTGATTGCCGCTGTGTGTTACAGGAACGAGTCGACACCGGTTAGAATCCGCCTCTTCACTGGCCGAGGTGTTGAATTCCCCCCTCATTACAAGGCAACCTATAACGGTTCCGACTGGGAGATTGGCGCCGTTGGTCACACACACTTTATGCTCTATGTGCAGAGCAATATCCAGGTCACCAAGATCACGCCGCACACGCGCAACATCATCGCTGGTCGCGTTCCTGGCACGCATGAGCATGTGGTGGGAGACGAGAAAAGGCACAGATTACCCAGGAATGAAGAGGACCACTTGGTGGTTGCTAAGCGCCGCAGGGCTGAGTGAGCGGCGACAGTCGCAGGTCATTATAGACATGACATGGAAGGAAAAGACGACACCGGTCGTAAGGCATCATTGATGTAAATGAGAGGCGACAACGGTCGTACGTGATTTGAAGGAGGTGGTGATGGTTGCAGGCCATCATAGACGCAACGTGGGAGGAATAGACGACAACACTCGTATGGCATTATTGCTATGAATGAGAGGTGACAACGGTCACATAGGATTTGGGAAGGCGACAACAGTCGCGAGGATACTCAATGCATTGGTTTTGGTGCAAAAATGTGCGATTGTTGTGAGATTGGCCCAGTGACCTTGTCGATAAAATGTTCCTGACATCGAAGTCAGCAATAGCTGCATCAATTTTAGACCTAGCGATGTGGGGTTTCCTGGTAAGTATTCTACGTAACGACCGACCACCTTAGAATCAATTGGCTGCAGTCTGCGAGACTTGCTGCTATCGTGTCGATTGATGAGTGTGAATCAAATGTCGAACTCGAGTGTTAGTTTATTTCCAATAGACAAGGCAAGTGAGACCTGCATGCCGCACTTACTTACTACAACATAATAATGCCGCCTTGTACTCGCCGAAAGACAGCAGCGAGGCATGACGACAAAACGGGGGGTTGCAGAAAGAAAAAAACTCCCCGGGGCATCAAATAAACAAGATACACCCGGCACGTTTTAACCCCGGACCAACCAAAGTGCTGCAAACGGATATATACGATAACCGACTAATGACTAGGTATCTATTTACAGCCTGCGCAGGTCGGCACACATTACCACGCTGGACCCTCGGACGCAGTGATTTTAATATTGTTTTTTTTGTTCTCTCGTTCTCTTGTTCTTACTCTATTCGCTGTATCTGCGACATTGCAGGCAAAAAGGGGACCCCTTGTCTGAAAACGCCCTTGCGCGGACACACACAGGCATCTCAGCTTGACAGGCCGGGGGAAGAAAAAAGGACCGAGGTGAAGAGGCCACGCCTCAGACTGCAAAAATATACAAGGAAGCCCGGCCTATATTCCTTTCCCCTAGGGTATCGCCGTTTTTTCCCAGCCACTTTCCAACTCCTCGCATGTCGTGAAAAGACGCGATTGTGATGCTTCCCACCATCCAGCTCTTCGCCCCATGTATAGATCCTCAACACAGATACAAGATATTAAAAAATAAGAATAAAAATGGACCCGCACCAGCCGTGTCCGCCCGCGACGGAGCAGGATACACGGTGGCGCCGAGGGCGTTTGATAATAGGGTGCCGACGAGCCGACCTACATCGATCGACCCGCGGTAGAAGGGTATTTGTAGACAAAAAGACAAAAAAAGAAAGAAATCTCTCGAGCAGATGGGGCTCGTGGCCGAGGGGGCGTGCCCTCTCTAAATGCCGTCGGTGGATACCGGGCAACCGCCTAGCATCTTGTTCAAACAGGATCCTCCAGAAGGGTATCGAAGCGTAAAATGGTGACAGATATGGAAATGGCGTCTATGTCGTCAATCAGTTCCAGCCGAGAGAGTTCTCAGCGGCAACGGGGGCCGAGATGTAGGCCGTCCTAGCGGAGTTGCCGGGGCCGCTTCCCCTCGTACGACCGCTGCCGTGGCTTTCGCGGCCACCGGCGGCTCCGTAGTTGGAGAAGTCCTGGCTCATCAGGGCACCGCCCATCATGGGCGGGCTGCCAGCACCAGTGTAGCGCATCTCGGATGAGGTGAGGGAGCTGGCGCGGCGGTGGGCCTGCTTCTTCTGCTTGTAGCGGCGGGCAATAATGAACATGGCAGCACCGTACGCAGCAGCAACACCCACAGCCCCGATACCGATGGCGGCGGCAGTACCTTTTTGAATGGGAGACTGGTTGGAGCCGTCGTTACCGGTGCCGAAGGGGTCATTGGGGTTGTTGGGGGTGGAGGTAGACGACGATCCGTCTCCGCCCGTGGAAGTGCCGTCATCCTCCTGGCCAGGAATGATCTCAATGGCAGGGTTGATATTCTGAGTGAGGTTGTAGACAAGCTGATCGGGGTTGTTGTAGATGGCCGAGTTGGGAATCTTGATGTCCATGCGCAGGGTGTCGACCATGCTTTTGGGGTAGTAGAACTTGGCGAGCGTGGTGATGTAGCCGAGAGTCTGGGACGTGTCGTAGGGGACGAGCTTGGTCATCTGGATCTGGCTAATGTCCAGACCAGCAGCATCGGCCAAAGCCTTGGGCAGGCAGGTGAAGATCTGAGCAGCAGCGTTGGGGTTCTTGCTGACGTGCTGGTAGTTCTCACCGTGCAGGAAACCAATCTGGAGGAGAATGGTGTCCTTGGGCTGCTCGACGTTCGGGTCCGGGCCGCTAATGACCTTGGGTAGGTCAGAAGGCAGGGGAATGGTCGACGTTGGGGCAAGAGCCTCTGTGGGCGTGCTGAGCGAAGTGGACTGCTCGACAATGATGGTGCTGGGCAACCAAGACTCCGAGTCAGTGATGGTGGCCGTGGCAGGGATGCTCGTGATGATGGGAGTCGTCGTAGGCGGCGGCACAGTGACAGTAGGCGTGGTCTCGATCAAGGTCTCCGAGAGAACAGTGGTGTTCACGGGAAGAGTGGTGGTCGCGGCAGGCTCAGTAGTCAGAGACTCAGTAGTAGTGGGGACGACGTTGGTGGCCGTGGCGGTCTCGTTGGCGACGGAGGTCGACGAGAGGGTGGAAGGTGTTACCGTGGGGGCCACAGTCAAGCTGTCCGTCTGAGTCGAGTTGCTGATGGTGGTGGAAGCCGTAGGCAGCTGAGACAAGGTCGGAAGCTGCGTGGTAGTCGGGAAGGTCTCAGTAGAGGTAGTGTTCACGGGGATCTCAACAGAGCCGGTAGCCGTGGTCGTCGGCACAGAGATGGCAGTGCTGTCAGTGATGGTGACCGGAGCGCTGGTGGTAGTCTGTCCGGCGGGGACCTCGGTCGAGGTGGCGTTGACAACATCGGAAGCGGGCAGAGCGGTCGTGGAGACAGACACGGGGACCTCGGTGGAGGAGGTGATGTTGACGGCGGGCTCGCTGCTCACAACGGGGAGGCTGCTGCTGGTGGGCTCGGTAGAGATCTCAACAGAGGTCGTGGCGTTCGCGACGGGCTCAGTGGGTGCCGGGAGCGAGGTGGTGGGCACGGCAGAGGCCTCAGCGGAGGAGGTGACGTTGGCAACAGGCTCAGTCGGGATGGGAAGTCTCGTCGAGGTCGGGTCCGTGGGTGCCGGGAGCGCGGTAGGCGTTGGGATGACAACATCGGACGTCGAGGCAACAGGGACCTCGGACGACGTCGCGTTGGCGATAGGCTCGGTGAGGTTCGTGGGAACGGCAACCTGGCTGGAGACGAAGGAGACAATGGGGTCCAGCGGGTTGGTGGGCTTGCTGCTCTCAGAGACGGCGGCAGATGTGGTCTCAGTGGAGGCACCAGAGGTCACCTGAACGGCGGCAGAAGTGGTGGTCTCAACGGGAAGGACGACGGAGCTCTGGGATGACGAAACGACGGGCTCGGTCGCGTTGACGTTGGGAACCGCGCTGGTAGTCTCGGGGTTCGCAGCCACTGAAGAACGCTGAGCTTGCTCGGCAGAGGTGGTAGCCTGGGTGCTGGAAGTCTCGGACACGACGCCGGTGGGAGCCAGGAGGATACCAGATGAAGATGCGGCCGTGGTAGCCTCGCTCGATGCAGCCTGGGCGCTCGTGGCAGCTTGCGTCGAAGAAACGGCCTCAGCGGTCGAGTTGGTGACCTCGACGTTGGTGGGAGCAGCGGAGCTAAGGACGGCCTCGGTGCTAGGCACGGCAGACGACGCCTCGGCGGTAGTAATTGCCTGGGCAGAGGTGGCAGCTGCCGAGGATTGAACGGCCTCCGTGGTGGAAGCCTGCGCAGATGACTGAGCGGCTTCAGAGGTGGTCGCAGCAGCAGAAGACTGGGCAGCCTCGGAAGTGGTGGCGGCAGCAGATGACTGAGCGGCCTCGGAGGTGCTGGCAGCAGCAGACGTCTGAACGGACTCGACAGCGGTGGTCGCGGCGGCGCTCGACTGAACGGCGGCAGTGGTGGTCTCGGGGGTCGTCGCTGTGGGCTGGGTGGTTGCGGCAGCCTGCGAGGTGGAGGCGGCTTCGCTGGAAACTGTCGAGGTTTCGCTGGTCGTCGGCAGAACGGTAACCGGGGGCAGAGTAGATGTGGGCACGGCGGAGCTTGTCGTCTCAGTCGTCTCTGTCGGGTCGAAGATGACGGTGCTCGAAATGATCACAGTCGTCACTCTCCCATCGGGGAGGGTCGAGACTGTGGTGGAGATTGTCGTCGGGGGTGCGGATTCGGGGGCCGAGGAGATTGTGGAAGTCGGCAACGGTGTGGGAACGGTCGACGATGAGCCAAAGAGAGAGTCCGAAAGGCTGGTGAGGATGTCACCAAATGTCGAGCTGATGGAGGCCGATGCGGTGGACTGGAAAGTGGTGCTCTCGGGGGCCGGAGGGAACGTCTCTTGTCTCGTACTGGTCGAATTCACAAACTGTCGTTTAACGTGACGCGGAAAGTAAATCTTGGGTCGTTCCTGTTCGGCGCAGGCAGTAGAGGCCAGGCCGAGGGCGGCGGCCAGAAGAGCAGTCTTTGCGTGCATGGTTTCGTTTCCCGATTATCGTATATTCAATTGAAGGTCTTTAGCGATTGTAATGATACCAATATTGGTGTTTAGTAGATGGAGGTCTCCATTCCGTGTTAGTAAGTGCTTCGATGCTCGCAAGACTCCTTGGCAACTCACTTTGTCAGGGTGTTATAGAACGAATGTACTTGACAAGGAATTGTCAATGAGCGTGATGGCGTTTGGGATTTTGGGTGTGTGAAATGAGTGACTCGACGAGATATCGTCGGATTGAATTGGGCGAGGACGTCTATTGATCCGTCACGTCGGCTGAGATTATGGCAGTTCCCGTTGTCGAATGCATGGGGAAACTGGCAGGTTGTCGGCGCGGAACCTCGACGACGATCTTCAAATGCGTCCAAAGCACATAAGGGGGGCGGTTAGATCGGCTCGACGGCAAAAAAGACCCCTTTCACGGCGTGAGGAGGCGCAGGTTGAGAATCGGAGAGGAGGTTCGACGTCGCCGGATGAATTCTTGACGGAGGCGAGGGGATGTCGAAATTCGACTGTCGAAGAGACGAGGTCGGGAGAGAGGTGGGGGCGACAAGAGGAGAGCGAGCGTGAGGAGTAAAAGGGAAGGGAAGGGAAGAGAGAAAAAAGCGAGGGTGGTGTAAAGGAATGGAAGGGGACGCAAGAAGGAATGTGGATGGACGAGGCAGCGAAGGATGGGAGATTGATTGATTGATGGAAACACACGACAAGGGACGAGGGACGAGAGACCGGGGGGTTGATCAGGACGGACGGGGGTGGCAGCAGAAAGACCAAGAGAACCAAGAGAGCGAGAGTAGAGGGAGGAGTCCAAGAGGAGTGTGGTGAGGGCTCAGGTCGACCGTCAGGGAGGGAGGGGACGAGATGGGATGGGCCAGCATGGACCGGGCGGGTGGTGATGGGATGGCGGGTACGAAGTCCAAGGTATCTTATCGGCTATTTTAGGTGTGAAAGACACTCGTGGGTAAGTACCTGATCCTCGTACTCCGTACACAGGTACCTTGGTCCAGGTTGATCGCGGTGCTGAAGGGGGGAGAAGGGACGGGAGCTGGCTGCTGGCTGCTGGAATGGCAGAGGAACCAAGCCGGGCACTGCTGGGCTGTACTGCGCGAAGGCAATTAACATGTCCAGGCACAAACTCGAGGGTGTGCAGGGGGGTGTGCGGTACTTTCTTGCAGTGACCAAGGCAATAAGGTACTTGTCTTAGCTAAGACGTCCACAAGTAGTGCACCTCAGGTACGGGATAAGGTACATTTGGCTCGATTTTATTTTTTCTTCTTCCCGTCGTCCCCAAGCGTCAACCCCCTTTTTTTGCAAGTTCACTACCTTACCATGGCACCAACAGTCTACCTACTACCCTTCATGAGGCCCTGCAGGTGAGTCAAGGCCCAGCTGGCACAAGTGCACGACTTGCCTACCTACACTATTCGTAAAAATAATTACTGGTCCTTACTTTGTGCACACACGCAGGCGGCATGGCTTGACCTGTGTGGTACGACGACTGTGGTGCCTCTCCGGCCCGTCATCTTATTACTCTCACCACACCTGAAGACCGCCGTCGAGTACCTTTCCTATGCCAGCTAGCCCCAGCCGGTACGAGTTATGCGTATCCTTAGTGTACGAAGTATTGCATCCCCGTCAGCGCCCACGGCCGAGAGGGACAGCCGAAGTCGCCCGACCATTACGCAACTCCCCTGGGCACAGCAAAGTCAGTCTGAGTCTTACTGACTCTGACTGGGTCCTGAGGGCTGACGGACACTTCTTTGGAGCCAAACGGATGCCATTTTGAGGATTGAGACCGACGAGTCTCGTAAAAGCCTCACCTACACTGACAATGCACATGGACGGCGGGTTGTCGTCCGAGAGGCATCTCTCCTCTTCGTTGCATACGCAGTATACACCAGCCAACCCTGAACAGAGCTGGGACGAAATTGTTGGATTGGGTTTGTGTAGAATGGACGATTGCCCAGAGACGAGATGAAAGACAAGGCGACTCGACCGTCACGGCTGAACTCTCGTCCCAGCCCAACAAACGGCTGGAACGCTGCACTTCTGCAGCATTGCGGCGTATGGCCTCTACCAATGGGTTTGTTTAGTCAAGGCGAGGATCCCCATTGTGAGCAAAGCGCGTAGACCCGGGATCTCCCTCCCCCCGAATCTTGCAGACGTGAACGTGATGTATTATTTTTGGCAAACAGACGGGCCGGTAGCCTCTCCGACTTTTAGACTCAAGAGACCGACTTGGACTGTGTTGTTGGACGGTGCCGCATCGTGCGCATCTGTTTCCCTATTTGATAGTACCCTGGACTCGATGTCGTCCAGAATAGTCAAGTGGAAGCCAAACTCTCGACTCTCACCGGAAAACGCTAACATTGACGACGGTGCATTGATGAGTGTTGACCATGTGTTGCCCCTGTCCGCCATCACTGCCGGACGTCCACGGTGGGACGGGTGGGAAAATCTCGCGAAATGACATTGCTGTTCTGGTCATGGTCTACCGTCGAGGTCCCTCTGTCATGGCGTGCTCGTCCGTGTGCCTGTTCTAGACTCTGGTGGTTGTTGGTCGGAACGGTCAGCTCTCAGGTCGACGGCCAGGGGAACGAGTCACTAGCCAGTACAAGGCTCCAACGTGCAGTACTCCGTACCTGATCACTGGCCAACGCCGGTAGTCCGCACACGATATCCGTACAGCACCAAGCTGGCAAGCAGCAGCCCGGGCATTCATGGTCCGCCTTATTGCAGTGCGCACAGTAATGGTCTGGAGAGCACACCATTCCGTAGGAGGGCGGGAAGGCAAGGTGGTGTGGAGAAAACGTAGGCTCACCGTTCCTGTGCTGTGCCGTGCCGTGCTGTGCTGTATGTACCGTACAAAGTCCACCACAGCCGTTGCTGGCAAGCAAACTCGTCAGACGGTGGTTTGTTGCCCGCGTTGCATTGCTTGGAGCTGGCTGCTGGCTGAGCGGCACTGGAAGTTGAGGTGCGGACGATGTGCAAGATGGTGAGCAGCCGCTGCCCGCAGGAAATGGAGAGAGAGAGGGGCTTAGCTTTTTCGGGGCACGGGCTAAAAATGGGCAGAAATGGCTGCCGCCGGGTACGTACCGCGCAGCTTTAGATGATGTGAGGTGGGTCAAAAGTGGAGTAGAGGAGACCCAGGTCCATGCCCGCCCTCGTCAATATTGAATACTTGCTTTTTGGATGGTTACTTCTGCAAAGAAGCAAGTCCCTTTTCAAGGTCCTCCCATCGGCCTTGCTGTCAACTTTGGCCCTGTTCGTCCTCTGCCGGGGCTTGTTGCTCCTTCGAGGCCGTGCCAGGTGGGTTGGTGAACAGGGGTAAATCTGACAAGCGAGCGCAGATCATTGGCCAAATCTCGGTGATGCGACGCTACGGGCAATTTTGCGCCGTTCAACCCCTGCAGACCCTTGCCGGAGGAGGTCACTGGGCAAGACTGGGGGGCGCTCCTCCTTCCCAGATTCCTTCTCCAGGCTTTTCCAGGTGGGCAGTCACGCAGTGGGCACTTTCTCTGGGCCACTGGCAACTTGCAAAGACTGGGCAGGTGCGTGGTCACTGGTGGGCAACTGCCAATGCGGGCTATTCCCTCCCTGGTCTCACCTTTCCAAGGCGCGTTCCCTTCCGTGGCCTTGCACAAACCTGCACCAATGCATGCACACATCGGCCCTCCAGCTGTCCAACGAGCACAAACACACCAGAGTCAGAGCTCAGAACCACCAACGGCGCAGATCCATCATCCCCCTCCAATTCTTTGCACAAACATGGATCTGTGGGGCTAGCTGACGAGATGGACAGTCCAGACCGAGTCCCGCCGTTGATCGTTGCCCTCGAGAGACCCGAGTATGATTGACGACACTTGGTAACCGTACGCATACTATGTACAGATGTGTCCTGGAAGAACCCCAACCCGGACGAAATGATAATCGGAGGCAATCTGCATTTACAACATCCTCTTGTGGAAATCCCTCGTCAACCTCCGCCCTGCAACGCTCCAACGCTAGCAGCCCACGTCTTGTGACTGCTCCAGGGTTGCAGGTGGTCCCCAGGTCCATGGCAACGCTGGACACACAGACAACTTGACAAGCGACGCTTTCGACCTGTCTCCTTGGCCGGGACTGTACGAATAGAGTCAAGAGTCGTCCAACTTGACAGTATTGCGGGGCGTAGAGATACGTTGCGTTGCTGCCGTTGCAACCCGGCATCACGCCTAAATTGATGTTTATGAGCATAATAGATTGCGCTTGCCGTGCTCGGGAGTTGATGTGCTCAGGCCGCCCGCCACCTGTAGTCAAGAATCAATAATGCTGTACAAAGTAGCCCTCACCAGAGTCACCACTCGCGTAGCGTCCAATACTCCGATTCGCATGGCACCATTCGACAATCTGGACCACTACCATCGTACAGAGAGTAAACTCGACTCTCTCATCGCTCTCGACGTTTCATCAGAGTCGAATGCCAATGATACAACCGCCATACCAGTGCGCCTCGATTGGCATCTCAACGGCGGGTCGACGACACGCGCTTTGTGTTCAGCACGCTTTCAAGTTCCAACAAGCGGCGGTTGTTGGTCCTCGATCGGGTCATAGGACGAAGCGGTACAAAGCGGATACTCGATCACAGGCCCAACACCCGCTTATTCGAGGTACCGCTCGCCAGCAGGGCTACCGTTGGAGCGTCCTGATCTCGTCCCTTTCCCGTCGGCGCCATCCCTGCTCGACTTCCACCTTCCCCATGCGATAGTGTGGATGGCTGAGAACACGCGCCCAATGGGAGCCGACGCCGGTGTCGTTAGCTTGTCTCGAATGTCCCGTTGATGGACGTGGGCTTGAGCCTTTAATCATAACCGCACCAACGCACGCCACAGACGAGATTTGGAGCTCTAGCGAGACGACGATGCACAACGACCCAGGCTCTGGGAAAATCAATACCATCAACACTGAGTCTCGATTTCGTGCACAAGTCGAAAACCTTCTCGATGCCCATGTCTTCGTACAGATGGCACGAGGGCGCAGCTGCGCAGGGCTGGCGGAAACCTGCTAACTGGGTGTTATTGTCTCAGTACCGGCAAACCGGCCGCCGTCAATATCTCTGCGACTCGTCAAGTGGGGTTGGTCTCCGCCGATCAGCCAGTCACCCAAAGCTTTGATCAGAACGCACTGGGGGGCACGCAAGCCCAGCGAATGGTCTCGCCCTTTCTGATCAGCCATCGAGGATCACCCTGCAACGTCCATTGATGGTGTGTTTCTCCACGTGGGTAAAGAGCAAGCAAGAAAAAATCGAAGCTTTTTTGCTGTTTTATCCCTCTCTTTGGTTTTCAGTCTCTGCGGGTTCGCGCACCGGGATACATGCCGGGCCAGTTGGATTGTTTACAGTTACACGCGAGTTGCACACGCGACTCCTTGCTCAGGGCCGCAGGAACACTCAGACGTCAGCCTTGGGACAACTTAATCGGCACAAAAGAGCCCCATCATCTGTTCGAGACGGAGTTCTGGCTTTCGAAGGGCTTCGATGGCCGTGACACGAATGCTCTATCCGACTCTGTGGAACTCAAGCCCGGGGCTCGGAATCTAGTGCCCAGGCCCATGTTCAGTTCTCGTCCTCCCCCAGTGTCGTCACAGGTGCAGGACAGTGATTGAATCCTGAAGCAATCCAAGAGAGGAGGGAATGAGGGTCGGTGGAACAGCGCTCCTGAATACACGAGAGATTGAGGCTGTGCAGCACTCGCATGCCTTGTCTCTCTGCTCTTCTGCCACAGCCATGTCCCGTTCCCATTCCTCGCCTATCCGCAAGTTGCCGTCCGGCCCGTCTCGTGTTGTGTCGCGTCACATCGTCGAGCTTCAAGCGGCGGTGTCATCAACGTGCCAGAGTGTCTGTTCCATCGGCACCCGTCACTCTAGAAGCCATTGGACGGGAGCCACAGCAAGCATCGAAATGAAGTCACATCAATTGCTGCTTCACTGGCGGCACGGTACCGTACGCGGTACGCCTCTGAAGACTGAAGCTGCCGCTCCGGCCCCCCGAGTCCGGGTGGCGGTTCCCGCTCCAACGGCATCGACTGTGTCTGCCAACTTCGCGTGCCACCATCGCTAGCGAGCGGACCGGGCTGAGTCAAAATAGCACCAAGACATGCGCTATCGTTGGTGCGTCAGGTACTAAAGGCACGGCGTGAGCGTGGCTCTCGAGCTAACTTGAATAGCTACGTGCCCTCATTCCCAATCTCCAGGGAAAGCTTCCAGTCCAAAAGTGACGAATTTCAGTTCCTGGCGGCGTCCAGGGAGACGCTATGACCACGGCATCAAGAGTTCGAGACCCTTCGTCACCTCCAGCGTCTCGGCTACCCACGCAACGCTGTGTCTTGCTTCGAAATCGATTCGAAATCGCCTTCTCCTTTGTTTAGTGCGACCTGACGGCTGCTGCCCTCTCCCTCCCTCTACGGATAGGCTCCCGAGGCTTTGCTGCACCTGAGAATGTGGGCTACACACCCTGAAACCCTGGTAACATGCTGGACAGCTGGAAAATCGAATTTGGGACCCATTGCAGCATTTTCCAAGGTGTTTCAAGATGTGCTGGGGAGTGCTTGTCAGTCTCCCTCTGAAAAGTGAAAGGGGGAGGTTGTTTACCTGCCGATCATTCTATTGCCTGCAGCTTCATATTACCGACCAATGTCTTCCGTTCCAAGCAGCCAAATCTTCGCTGTATTTGCCATATTATGATCCTCACGGGTGTTTGGCCATGTCTCTGGGGTGTGAGCCGCAGCCGTTCGCAGAATTCACGGCAATCTGATGCAGCCCCAGGTAAGATTGACTTGACATGAGATCAGGACTAACATGACGACCCAGGCATTCTCACGTATCGAGTCTTCGTCTCGTATCTTTCTGCACGTGCTCCCGCCCGCGAAGCACCGCAGAGTCGACTCGCGGGTGATGCTGCACAGGTGTCATGTTTGAGATGTCGGGATGAACTCTGCGGCAGCCTCGTCCCCAACACTGGCAAAAAACCAACACGGCTCTAACTGTGTGTTTCAAAATAACAGCAGAGTACGATGATGGAATGTGATGGGAATGAGGGATTCCGTTGCAGGCTCATCCAGAGGGCTGCTGTGGCACCGGACGCTTCAGCCACGTGTTTCCCTGTCGCCTACGTGCGATGATTTCGTACTCGGCCAGGCCACTGATTTCTTCTGCGACGCTCTGTTCAGCCTGTGGCATCGAGGATTCCAGGGGTAGGGATCTCATCATTTCATAGTGTTCCTTGGGCACTCTACATCTTGCGACGCTCGTGTCAGGTATGGTATGCACTCTGAATTCGAGGCGCCAACGGATGCCATGGCCGATTCGTCAGAGAGCCGGCACCGAGAGGAAGGTGGCATACGCCGGAGCCTCCGGTAGGTGTGGAGATTGACGGAGCGGACGGCAGGTCGGCTCAGACCGTAGTGCCGGTACCTGCCCGGCCGAGTGTCATTTCAGCGACTACCGGAGCCTCATTGCCTTCACGTCGACAGAGAGTCAACGACTGCCATGTGCCAACCGTGACAATGAGAACAGATACGCTTCTGACTGCTCACGGTGCTCTGTCGACGCCCTTTATGGCATTTCAGGTTTGTGGGCAAGCTGTGGTTATTGATGTATTGAGCAGTTCATCAGGATCATGTGACGCGTGACAGAATTACATGTCATTCGTCTCTCGGTCATAAAAGAACCCGCTGCATTCGATCATGGTGCACCGGCTTGATGCGAAGAAGGAGCAAACAATGTGCAGATCGGACGGTATTGGGAAGCATGAAGATATATACCTTGTCGGAGCTGCAGCCGCCGTGTCCAGCATCCATTACACGGCTTGCGAAAGCAGTCATTGGCGAGAATTCGCTGCCCTGGAAACTTCATCCGGCTTGCTTTCTGCAATGCATGGACTCTTTCTGTCTTCTCACCTTGACGACTGCTCGGGACCGGGTCTGCAGGAAGTGTTCCGCCGCGAGGCCGTGGAGCAGCTCGGGATCCTGTCAGCCTGGCCCTAAGTTGGCGACGATGAATGGCGGGCTCTTCGCAAGCATAACCAGAACGGTATTGCGAAAGCCGCGAAGATGCATATGCATATGGCAGACGGATATGAGCAGTCACATTGTGTGCCCGCCGCCCAAGACCAAAGACCAAGGAGCATTTGCGTCGAGTTTGACGCATCCACGAGAAAGCCCCAGCCGACGAAATCCACCTCGTCTTTTCTTTTTCTGCCGTTCGTGTCCCGCGACGTGCCTTTTCTCGCGGGATATGATGGAGGTGGTTGGCAGACGCAGTGGGGATCCGCTTCCTGTCATTTTCGACGTCCACCATCATTTTGTGACAGGGCTGGGTGGCGCCGTGGACTCCAACGACCGTTTACAAACCGGCCGAGTGGCCGAGAGACATGCTGACGAACAACGTCTTGAGTGCAGTTGGATGCCGACGACGAATCTCAGGCTGGCTTTGGACGTTGACGAGTGGCGGCGGCGGCGGCAGCGAGTGACACCAGGTTGGTTAGACGAGCGTTGATCTGCGAATAGCACGATGGGATGGAGGGGCAACGCAGGGCCGGGAGGTGAGAACTGGGGCAAGCCGCAAAGCCGCAAAGCCGCAACCCCTCGTTCGCAGGCTCGCTGCAGGACGACGTATTAGCGCTTGGACGCTAGTCTGCCCGAGGGGCAATTCCCGCACGTCGCGATGCAGCCTTTTGACAATGGGGACGACGGGAGGTGGGCTTGACTGAAGCGGAGAAATCGGGGGGAGACGCAAGTTTCGCAATAGCAATACTGCGTAGGCGGCGGCGAGGACGGCGGACGGTGGTGATGATGACCAGTCAGAAGCGATGGAAAGCCGGCTGAACCAAGGATCTCAGCGGCGGGATCAGCGCGAGCGGCCGAATCTCGACGGCTAGCTACGTTTGGGGCTTTTCCAGACGTGGGAGAGCCGGATTGACGGTATGTGCTTGGGCGGTGAGATGATGTGACTCGCATCTGAGGTACCTTGCTTGAAGGTGAGCAACACGGATAAGGTTGACGTATCGACGCAAGCCACCGCGTGGGTGAACTGTTGACCTTTGGTATGATTGCCAGGGGTGCGTGGGAGAGTTGCGGTAGCCGTTGCCAACTTTTTGTGTGATTTTCTAATCATTATTTTGAGCATGTAGTGAAAGGTATCCCCAGTGCTGTGTTGCGCTGATACAAACACACAAAGCTTCTTGCAGGTACACGCGCACAAGCATTCAACCAGTCCTTGGCCGGGTACTTTACCTAGGTCAGGAACCTCGGAAAGGTTACGCGCAAGGTGAAGCGAGGACGACCGGGAGTTGTTGGACGCTCGAGGTTAAACTCTGGTGGTTGAGGGTGTTGAGGAACTGTCCGCTGCCGCCCGCGCCTACTGTTCTGACAGGCCGCCCTGACGTAAGGCACAGCCGGCTGTTTGGCGGGGTCGGCAAGGTACCTCTGCTCGCTGGGCGGAGACCTTTGGCTTCGGGATCGCCCATCACGGCGGACTCTGTTTCTTGGTAACGGTACCCAGGCGAGGAGTAGACTTTTCGGCGCGACACAGGCAAAAGGTTACAGCGTTTACAAGTCTCCGTAACCAAGAGCCCGGGTTCGTCATCGGGTCCCTTGGCTGGGGCGGCAAGTACCTTTTTTCCCTTCCATTTGGTTTGAGCACCTCACCGACGCAACCGCAATTCGAGGCGATGCGCGCGAGTCGACCTCCCCCCCGTTCCTCTGCTTGTCGCAATGCCTGGTTCGGTTCGATATCCCCTCGTTTCTCAGTACCGGTAAACCTAGGATGTAAGGTAGATAGATACATGACATAGATACATTGGGTGGCCCTTGCCTCACCGTAAGGTACCATAAGGTGCTCCTTCCCATCGCAAGGTGACGAAACTATGTAGAGCGCCAGGCTGCATTCTGCCCCCTCCAAACTACTGGACCATTGCCCTCTGCGATTTTACCCCTCCATCCTCTGTCAACCCCACTTGGATTCCCTCTACCTGCTTTTGCTGCCCTTGTCTTTAAAGCAGTAGCTTCCCTCAGCTTCCTTCTCTGCAATTCTTTCCCACCAACATCACCACCACAAACACACAATTCAATCACTTCACAAATCACAACCGACAAAATGGGTGTTACCAAGACGACTCACCAGTCCGGCTCCGGCGCCATCCCCAAGCCCGGCCAGACTGTCACCATTGAGTACACTGGCTTCCTCAAGGATACCTCCCAGCCCGACAACAAGGGCAAGAAGTGAGCAAACAACCCCTCCACCCCGCCCGTCTCTGTTCCCTCGCATGTTATGCTAACGAGTGCTCAATTGCCAGGTTCGACTCCTCGGTCGGCCGCGGCGACTTTGTCACCAGAATTGGTGTCGGCCAGGTCATCAAGGGTATGTCTGCACCGAGACGCTTACCTACGTCCTCCCTCCCTTCCTCTCCTCCTCGGGCTTCTTCGAATACATACACGATCCTGGTGATGCGGAACTGGATGCTTACTGACGCATGAATGCAGGCTGGGATGAGGGTGTCACCCAGATGAACGTCGGCGAGAAGGCTACTCTCGACATCACCAGGTAAGAAACCTCTGTCCTACAGTCCTCAGTGGAATGGCTTTGTACAGCGTACGGCAAGACAATGAACTTGGCTAACGTGTGTTTTGCAGTGACTTCGCCTATGGCGAGCGGTAAGCAATACCCACCATCAACGGTGCCCAGGGCCATGCCAGGCATCTGTTGCTACCATGGCGACCAATTAATGCTAATTATGTTCCCCAACAGCGGCTTCACCGGCCACATTCCCCCCAACGCCGACCTCATCTTGTAAGTTGACCCGGGAGATGACTGCTGTTTGTCAGCACCAAGGCGTCGTTGGCTAACCACATTCCATAGCGACGTTGAGCTCAAGAAAGTCCAGTAAAGCATCAAAGCTTTACTTCGTTTCGCGCAAGTGGTTAGCTGGAAAGATGATATGGAGTAGGCCCACGCAGCCTATCTTAGAGAGTGGATAGTACAGTTCCCAGAACATGCTCGAGCCCAAATATACTATCTTCAACTACCGCATAACAACGCTTTTACTGTCAATTGGTGTGAATGTTTCCGTGTATCTGCCGGATCGCGTGCGCGACAGAGTCTGGACGGTGCCCACGTCACACGGCATGTGGTGCTGGTGATACACGTACTCATGTGATCTTGATCCTGCTACATAGTTGATTCATTCCAACGAATGCCCTGATGTAACCGTGTATGAGTGCTCGTCAGTAACTATGAAGGAGCGCAGATATAACGTCCATGGACTATGACATGTCTGCGCATGGTGTGCTGTCTAAGTGAAAAGAAGATTTAGAACATGATATGCGCCATTCCACACGCGTACCAGACTTTCCAGTCATAAAAAAAATCAAAGTCATGATGGTAGACGTCTTGATTCTCATTTGAGGAATTCAACGAGTCTATACGTGTTGGTGGACGTTACATTTGATTTTATTTGGTGTTTGAATCGATGTTTTAATTCCTGTCACTAACCAGTGTCAACATTTTATGTTGCTAGAATCAACCTCCTTGGGCAATATAGTAGTATATTGTAGACACCAATATGACCCTTACAAAGAAACAGCATGATGAACCTCTGCCCTCGAAGACCTACTCAAACCAAAGAACCAAGCTGGGACTCACGTTCAGGTCGACTTCAAGTGGTGATGGAACTCGGTAGATTCTCGGAGAAACTGGCACACAGTAATTTCATACCGTGCGCAAAGGAGTCGCCTAACACGATACATGATGGCACACATACAATCAACTGGAAGAAATGTATACACAGTACAGACGACACTGCCTCACCTTCGCTGAGGCCGTCTTAGGCTGTACCTTATTCCTTCCTGCTGAATGCATTGAGGGGCAATGTTTAGAAATCGCCCAGTGGAGCTTCCCTCCTCACAGCGCCAGCCAGCCTGCATCGCCCGCCTTACGTGAGGTAACCCAGGCGCACCCCTGCCCCTCGTCGACACCTCCACATCCGGCTCCACGACCACCTTTACATCACCAGAAACGAGGCTGCTCTTTCTTCCTGCACAACCACATCAACTGCAACACGACGCTTCTTGCCTGGTGCATTTTTTCCCTTCACCTCTCCCACGAAACGCAGCGACACACTTTCTGCAACCTTGACGAACGACGAGAGAACCAACCGCGGTTCCACTATACGAACACACGAACACACACGTCTTTGTTTGGTGGGGTTGGAAGCTTCATCGTCCCACCCGCCGCCCGTGTTTCCCTCCACGTCATAGCAAACGACGTTCCGGTCCGGCATCGTCAAGCTGGGGAAGCGCAAACTCTCCAACGGGGAGACACCTGATCCCAATAAGAAAACCATGGCTGTACGTTGCCCTCGCCGTATCGCCGCCGTCTACATACCCCGTATCGTCCATGCATCGTCAACGCATCGCGCCGCTGACTTGGAGACTCCCTAGGATAAGAAGCTACCGGAGGTCGACCTGGTGACCCGCATGCAGGTCGACGACTCCGTTGTCGGAAACACCGAGATCGATGAGTCGCTCTACAGTCGCCAGCTCTATGTGCTGGGCCACGAGGCCATGAAGCGCATGGGCGCTTCCAACATCCTCATTGTCGGTCTCAAGGGCCTGGGTGTCGAGATCGCCAAGAACATTGCCCTTGCCGGCGTCAAGAGCCTCACACTCTACGACCCCGGTCTGGTCGCCCTCGCCGACCTGTCCTCACAGTTCTTCCTGCACCCCGAGGATGTGGGCAAGCCCAGAGACGAGGTCACCGCCCCGAGAGTCGCCGAGTTGAACGCATACACCCCCGTCAAGGTCCACCAGTCGTCAAGGTGAGTTAGGATGCCCTCCCGCGAGACTACGCTAACACACATAGCCTGGGCGAGAACCTCTCCCAGTTTGACAAGTACCAGGTCGTCGTCCTGACCAGCCTGCCGCTGAAGCTCCAAGCGCTGATTGGCGACTACTGCCACTCCAAGGGCATCTACGTCGTGGCCGCCGATACGTTTGGTCTTTTCGGTTCGATTTTCTGCGATTTCGGCGCCGACTTCACCGTTATCGACCCGACCGGCGAGGCACCCTTGACCGGCATCATTGCGGGCATCGACGAGGAGGGCCTGGTTTCGGCGCTCGACGAGACCCGCCACGGCCTCGAGGACGGCGACTATGTTACCTTTTCAGAAATCGAGGGCATGGAGAAGCTCAACGGAGGCGAGCCGCGAAAGATCACCGTCAAGGGCCCGTATACCTTTTCCATCGGCGACGTTTCCGGCCTCGGCCAGTATGTCCGCGGCGGCCTGTACCAGCAGGTCAAGATGCCCAAGAAGATCAACTTCAAGAGCTTCTCTGCCGCGCTCAAGGAGCCCGAATTCATGATTTCAGACTTTGCAAAGTTCGACCGCCCCCAGCAGCTTCACCTCGGTTTCCAGGCCCTGCACGCCTTTGTGGAGAGCCAAGGCCGTTTCCCGAACCCCCTGGACGACACGGATGCGACTGTGATTTTGCGCTCCGCCGAGGCGTTTGCCAAGGCAGAGGGCGTCGAGGTGGAGTTTGACGAGAAGCTCCTCAAGGAGCTCAGTTACCAGTCCCTTGGTGACCTGAATGCCATGGCTGCCCTGTTTGGCGGAATCGCGGCGCAGGAGATCCTCAAGGCCGTCTCGGGCAAGTTCCAGCCCATCCAGCAGTGGATGTACTTTGACTCGCTCGAGTCTCTGCCAACCAGCTCCGCTCGCACCGCCGAGCTGTGCAAGCCTCTCGGCACCCGCTACGACGGCCAGATTGTCGTCTTCGGCCGCGAGTACCAGGAGAAGATTGCCAACCTGCGGCAATTCCTCGTTGGTGCCGGCGCCATTGGCTGTGAGATGCTCAAGAACTGGGCCATGATTGGTCTCGGAACCGGTCCCAAGGGCCAGATCACCGTCACCGACATGGACTCTATCGAGAAGAGCAACCTGAACCGTCAGTTCCTGTTCCGCCCCAAGGACGTTGGCAAGATGAAGAGTGACTGCGCTGCCGAGGCTGTGCAGGCGATGAACCCCGACCTGAACGGCCATATTGTGTGCCTCAAGGATCGCGTGAGTCCCGAGACGGAGGAGACCTTCAACGAGGAGTTCTGGGGCAACCTCGATGGCGTCACCAACGCGCTGGACAACGTCGAGGCCAGAACGTACGTCGACCGCCGCTGTGTCTTCTTCCGCAAGCCCCTCCTTGAGAGCGGAACGCTCGGAACCAAGGGCAACACCCAAGTCGTCCTCCCCCATCTTACCGAGTCGTACTCCTCATCGCAGGACCCCCCTGAGAAGGAGTTCCCCATGTGCACCGTCAAGAGCTTCCCCAACAAGATTGAGCACACGATTGCGTGGTCCAAGGACCACATGTTTGAGAACCTCTTTGTCACGTCTCCTTCCACGGTCAACCTGTACCTGACGCAGCCCAACTACATCGAGGGCACGCTGAAGCAGGGTGGTAGCGCCAAGCTGACGCTCGAGACGCTCCGCGACTACCTCACAACGGACCGCCCGCGGACCTTTGAGGACTGCGTTGCGTGGGCGCGCATTCTCTTTGAGAAGGAGTTCAACAACAAGATCCAGCAGCTTCTGCACAACTTCCCCAAGGACTCGACGACGTCGACCGGTACCCCTTTCTGGTCTGGCCCCAAGCGCGCGCCCGAGCCGCTCAAGTTTGACGCCAACAACCCGACACACTTTGCGTTTGTCGTGGCGGCCGCCAACCTGCACGCCTTCAACTACAACATCAAGTCGCCTGGCACCTCCAAGGACATTTACCTGCGCGAGCTCGACAACATTATCGTACCCGAGTTCTCACCCGCTGAGGGTGTCAAGATTCAGGCCAACGACAGCGATCCTGTGAGTTTATAGTCTATGTAAACATGCAAATACTGACAGACCTAGGACCCCAACGCCGACGCGGGCAGCTCCTTTGACGACAACGACGAGCTGCAGAAGCTCATCAGCAGCCTCCCTTCGCCTAACGAGCTTGCCGGTTTCCAACTGCAGCCTGTGGACTTTGAAAAGGACGACGATTCGAACCACCACATTGACTTCATCACGGCCTGCAGTAACCTGCGCGCGGCCAACTACAAGATTGAGCAGGCTGACCGCCACAAGACCAAGTTCATTGCCGGCAAGATCATCCCGGCGATTGCGACGACAACGGCGCTCGTCACGGGCTTGGTGATTCTGGAGTTGTACAAGGTCATTGATGGCAAGGACGACATTGAGCAGTACAAGAACGGTTTCATCAACCTGGCGCTGCCGTTTTTCGGCTTCAGCGAGCCCATTGCCAGCCCCAAGGTGGAGTTCAAGGGCCCCAACGGCATTGTCAAGTTGGACAAGATCTGGGACCGCTTCGAGGTCAACGACATCACACTCAAGGAGCTGTTGGAGCACTTCGAGAAGCAGGGCCTCACCATCTCCATGCTCAGCTCCGGCGTCAGCTTGTTGTACGCCAGCTTCTTCCCTCCGGCCAAGCTTAAGGACCGCCAGAACCTGAAGCTGAGCCAGCTCGTTGAGACGGTGTCCAAAAAGCCCGTGCCGGCTCACCAGAAGGAGGTCATTTTCGAGATGGTGGCCGAGGACGTGGACGGCGAGGACGTTGAGGTTCCCTACATCAAGATGAAGATGGCGTAAGTGGGGCCGTGTGCAATTGATAATATCTGCCAGAACTGGCGAGGCTAGAAGCGCAGGGTTTTAGAATGGCCAGAAACTGTGGTCAGCCAAATAGGCAATAGGATCACGGAATAGAGCTCTTCACTGTTACTATGCGTGTACTATGTGTGTTGGTGGTTTTCCTAAATCGAAGGCGTTACTAAGCCCGCAGCCGCTAACGCAGACATTTGTAAGCACCCCTGTCGCTGGCGGCTCAGCGTGGGGAAGCGCTGGGT